GAGAATGATTCAATACAACATCACTACCAACAGATTCTTACAGCTTCACAGAAATGGCAGTGGCAAATTTCTTCCTCTCCTCACAAGTTATGCTTTTCCTCTGCTTTTTGGCCATCAATGGCGGAGCCGACAGCACAGGCTTCTCATGTTCTGTCGATTCCTCACGCTCTTGTCGTACCTATGTCTCGTACTTTGCAAAATCTTCAGAGTTCTCGGATCTTGTGAGCATATCGAAATTGTTCGGAGGCAGTGCTTTGGAGATTGCGAAAGCCAGCAACTTGGGATCAGAAACGGCTCCATTGTTTCAAGGGCAGCTTCTGCTGGTTCCTGTGGCTTGTGGGTGCACTGGAAATGGCTTCTTTGCCAACATCACATACAAAATCAAGAACAACGACACCTATTTTCACGTCTGCACCTCTTCGTTTGAGTATCTCTGCAACTGGGAAATAGCGGAAAAAATGAACCCAACTTTTAAACCTCTGCATTTGCAGGTGGGCGACGAGCTGGTTTTTCCTCTGTTTTGCAAGTGTCCCTCCACGAGAAATTTGGAACAGGGTGTAAGCCATCTTATCACATATATATGGCAATCCACCGATGGGATTTCTGATGTGAGTGCAATTTTTAACGTCTCGAAAGACGCCATTTCTGAGGAAATGAAAGATCAAAATTTGACCAATTTTGTTACTGGCAGCCCCATATTGATTCCTGTTTCGAAACTTCCTCTGCTTTCTCAGCTCTACCCTCAGAGGAAAAAGATCAAACATCTTGTGGTCATAATCGTTGCTGTGACCTTGGGTCTTAGTTTCGTATTGGGAGCTTCTTTAATGGTTTATATTTGCTTTATATACAAGAGAAAGAAGAACCCAATTTGGGGAATTTCTAGTTTTGAGAATTCAACTCTCACCCAGATGAAGATGAAACAGAACGGCCAGCTTCTTGCTCCTGTGGTCTCAGACTACTTGGGGAGGCCAATTTTCTACGACTATAACGTGATCGTGGACGCAACAATTAACTTCAACGAGGGGTTTAAGATTGGGAAATCAGTATACAGAGCCACAATCAATGGACAAATCTCAGTGATAAAAAAAGCCAAACAGGATTCAAAGGAGGAGCTAATGATTCTACAGAAAGTCAATCATATAAACTTGGTGAAACTGGTGGGCTTCTCATCAGATGATGAGGAGAATTTTTACTTGGTTTATGAATTTGCTGAAAATGGGTCGTTGGATAAGTGGTTGCATTCTCAATCTCCAGCTTCCTCTGGGTCTTTAAACTTGAAATCCCATCTCTCGTGGAGGCAGAGGCTGAACATAGCACTGGATGTGGCTAATGGGTTGCAGTATATGCACGAACACACCCAACCCAGCATCGTCCATCGAGATATGAGAACCAGCACCATCCTTCTGGACTTGAGATTCAGAGCAAAGATTTCAAATCTCGCCATGGCCAGGCCTGCCGCCGACTCTCTGTCAACAAAAGCGGATGTTTTTGCTTTTGGGGTCGTGTGTTTGGAGCTGCTTTCAGGGAAGAAGGCCATGGGGGGGAGTAAAGGAAATGGTGAAGAAGAAGAAGAAGAAGGAGAAGTTGTGACGTCGTGGAAGGAAATAAGGGATGTTTTAGACGATGAAGAGAAAAGAGAAGAAAAGTTGAGAAATTGGATGGACCCAAAATTAGAAAGCTTATACCCAATTGAAGAAGCTCTGAGCTTGGCAGTAATGGCGAGGGCATGTACTCAAGATGAGCCTCTGTCAAGGCCAACCATGGCGGAAATTGTCTTCAATCTCTGTGTTCTTGCTGAATCTTCCGCTGAAGGGACAGAGAAATCATGGGTTTCCCTTCTTGAGGCAGATGAAATCGGGCATACCCATAGTTCCATTAGAGCTCGTTGAAACTGTAAATATCATTTATTACACATAATCGTAATAAACTTAGATCTTTATTTATTACGAATATCACAAAAAGCATTCGTTTCTGTTACATAATCAGTGATCCATCCAAATTTACGTTCAAACTCCAATTAATAGGATCATCTTCTTTTCCATGTAACTGAAAATTCAAAGTTGGAAAGAAAAGTAAGAGCTGTAATAATGAAGCTCTTGTTAATGGCTGTGTGTTAACGTACAACAAACAAATATGTGAAAAATCTCTCTTTATGGACAAGATCGAGGGATACCAATTCTTCAATCTCCTCTAATCTACCTTCTTCTTACAGTTTATATTATATCATATTATATATATATATTAAACTTAAACCACCGAACCCGAAACCGACACCAAAAATTTCTAAGAGATAATAAAGAAAAACTTATTAAAAAAGAAGTAATTCTCCTTCTTCTCCCCATTTTGGGCATGATCTCGAGCTTGGTTCGGCTCCGACCCAGAATCCAAAGCTGTGGTTCTGTAAATTGAAATCCCTAAGATTCTATAGCGAAGGGAGTGCGTAAGAGATCATAAGGAGCCCAAAGCGCGTCGAGCGGGCAAGCCCGGTTCGAGTCGAGCCGGACCCACGGCTTCCCTTTCCCACTCCAATGCAACAGACTCACCGGACCGGGATGCAAATTCCGGCAGAGTCCCCGGAAATTGTCCCCGCCAAG